CCGTTCTCAACCATATTTGTGAACACATAGTTATGATCTCCTCCCATAATGTGTCTTAGAAGGTACATGTGGTCGGAGAGGTAATGAGATAGGGACAGTTTTCTCAATAAAAATCAGATGGATGGATGGGTGGATGCTTCCAATGACACAGGCTTTCTTTCACTTTTCTGTGATTCACTTCCTTTACAGTTGTCTTCCTTTGGAAATGAGGACTGCAGAGAACTGGAAGATGCTATAACATGGTTTTGTGATGGATTTGCTTCTGTGCATTGCTGAGGGAATGAAGCAGGAAATAGCAAAATAACCTAGAGAAGCCAAACATGAAATCACAACACCCAGATTAGTACTTGCAGAGGGACAAGTCTTCAAACTCTATCTTGAGAATTGTCAAGGATGGGAGTCTAGAGATGAGTTAAAGATTTCATCAGCCAAAAGACTCATCATGCAGAAAGTGAGATGAAGCAGCCACAGTCAACAAAGAGTGAAAGAGAACCTGGCTATGGCACAAGAGCTGTAATTTTGACACCAATGGTGAATCTGGTCTGCAAAGTGGCTGGTACGAGAGCGCCAAACATAGGCAAAGCAGTATGTGTTTAGGCCTCTGCTATTTTACATCCATGGGATACACTGACATTTCTATTAAGTGACTTTCAGAGATTATGTGAAGGAAATAAATGAGAAAAACTTTTTGTTTGCAGGTAGTTTCTTCAGCCTGCTCAGAGAAGCAAGGCTCAGCTCAATATAGAACTGATGGAATCATTTCTGTGCTGATAGATCTCAGTGTTTGGGCCACAAATCGATAGGGAATGGATGTAGTAAGGTACCAGAAAGCCAGCTAAGCCTGAAAGAGAACAGATGAAGACAGACCAGCTCACTAAGGTGGACTCATATTCCTAAAACGCACTGCAAAAAGAAATAAAAGCATGAGCTGCCAAGGTGTGAAATGCAGAGAATATTCAAGCAATCGTTGAGTCCAGGAACTGCATGCAAATCCAAAGAGAAACTGTAGAAAAATGATGGGAAAATTCCATTTCAAGTTAATTACAATCAGTAAATGATACATCTATACACAACACTTGCAAGTAGTCTCACTTTTTGCACAGCAAGACTTCGGGGAGAATGTTTTTAAAAAGAGGGGGAATAGCAAATACAAGCACACAAATAGGGTGCAGATCACCTTGAACTATATCCAAAGTCATCATATCACTTCCCAAAAACATTAAACACCTCTAGGGGGAGATTCTTTTAGGAAGCAAGGAGAAAAGTAAAATCCTGAAGCCAACTTAGTTCTAGTAAACTGTACTCAACCGGAACGTAAAAGTTAACACCCATTGTAAGCAAAATCTGATCCACGTACTGTCCTGCAGTTAATCAGCAGGATCTTAATGACATCCCATTTAATTCTTACTTGAAGGGGGAAAGTGGTGAAAAAGTAAAACTCTAAAGTGTGTGTTGAAACCTGAGCCAGTTTAAAAATTAAATTCATCCTGCAGCTGAAATTCATACTGTTTTTTAATAAAGTTGAAGTTAAGCATCAGAACAAGGTTCAAAATTATCATCATAAAAATACTTTTTCTTAAAAAGTACATGAAATACAGTAGTCAAAGCTATTTGATCACATGTGTACTCAGAAGTTCTGGATAAGTGATCCAGTTCATGATCTTTTCAAACTTTATAGTTTGAAGCACACTGATTTTTCCTAGGGTAAAATCATAAATAGTCCCAGGTACATCTGTCATTCCCTTCACAGACTTAGGTTGAAGTCAGTTTGCTGTTTTAAAGTGAACTCATATCTATATACCCCACCCAAAGACATTACCTGTTTTTTCTTTCTGCTTCAGCAATACCAAGATTTTTTCTACAGGAGTACCTTTTAGAAGATTCCTGTTTTTAAGAGAAAGCAGCCTCTTT